ATATCAAATGTCTATCAACAAAGAATTTGTGAGGAAACACGCCAACGTAACATGGACAGACCACTATTGCTGAAGATACCATCAGACCCAATGTATATGTGGATCCCAGTAGCCATTGTTAGAAATGGGCGAGTTCCCCCTCGGCCGGAGCGCCTCGTTTTCTACGGCGCCGCAACAACACAGGGCCGAGGAAGGTTTCACAAGCGACTGAGTACATCACTGAGTTCTGCTAAGAGGAAGGCTAGGTCGAAGGCTTAAAAATTGTCTTGGTAAGCCAGTATCCACATAGGAACTACAAGAACCGTCCATGATCATCCACAGTTAGATAATGTAAGTATACGCGGCAGTAAATGACGACGTAATTGTTCTGGATTCCGAGGCAAAGGCTGCATAGTGACAGTTCCTGAGAACATCGGATTCAATTAAAAGTTCGGTTTTATGGTAAAATGATTACCATCAAGTGATTTACCTTACAAGTACGATCGCGTGAGCTACACCTACGGCACAAGTGACTTTGGGTAGCTTATATCACGAAGAAAAGAGTTCTGACACTTTTATACGTTGCTGGCAGTTCATTAGCAACATTCTCAATCCAGATAGCTAAGGAGGCTCAAATGTTTCAGGATATGGAAATAGTTCAGGTAGAGGGATACATGGATTTTATAGGAAAAGGCTGTCCCCTCCCTTGTCATCAGAGCTATGGGGAGAATACATGCAGTCATTAGCTTTTCATATCTGTTGATCATTGTGGATTAGGGGTCACTGTGGCCTCAAGAATATATCAGGCAGCCAAGATTGTATGCCCCAGGAAGTAACTGGAAGCTCTTGTTGTAATAAGATGTCAAATTACTGATAGGTTGTATGATATAGACCTATCAGTGTAGATGCAGTTTCAGGCATATGCTTAAAACTGAACAAGTAGCAAGTCTTTGGGTTAAGAATTTTTTTTTTTCAAAAGTTTTTTTTTCTTGATACAGTATCTGTGTTTTTAATCCACTTATCTTTTTTGACCCTGTAGGTTACCTGTTGTCATGATATCCAAGATTGCTTTCATTAAATGATCAGTGACAGGAGAAAAAATCATAAATCTTTTGAATAAGATGTAAGCTATCCGGGCATAAGGATATTGCCAGTGTATGACAGGAAGTTTTTGTGTTGATATAGAACTGTAGAATTATTATGAATAACGTGGCTTTTATGAACCATATATACTTTCTTTGACCCCAAAGTGTAGTTACTGTGATTCTTTCATAAAGTGTCAGTTACGTCCTGTACTTGTCCTAGTGAGCAGGGTTTCGCGCATGTGCTGTGGACAACAACAGGCTAAACATTGCTACTATATCCTGTTGGGTTTGATACAAAGAGTTCTAGCTCTGTCAGCAGCGTTCTAGATTTGTTGTGCTGGCCAGAAAAGAGTTAATTTGGGAGCAACATTCAAAATCTCTTGTAATATGCAAGAAGATAATATACCAATGCTCACAACAATAATAGGTACTTCTGTTTTTGATAGTTGCTGTTTAGAAAACATATAAGCTTGAAATACCCTTTTCTTTACACAATGTGTGTCATTAATGAATATATTGTGTCTTTGTACAGACTAAGGATAAATATAAAATTAGGTAGGCCTGCCCCGACAATGCTATGAACTCCTTTTATCAAAAAGTTATATATGTGTATTACTTATTGCTCTATTAAAGGAAATATACACATCATACTATATATATATATATATATATTATATATATATATATATATATATATTATATATATATATATATATATATATATAATATATATATATATTATATATATATATATATATATATATAGATATATATATATATATATATATATATATATATATATATATATATATATATATATATATATATATATATATATATATATATATATATATAATATATATATATATATATATATATATATATATATATATATATATATATATATATATAATATATATATATATATATATATATATATATATATATATATATATATAATATATATTATATATATATATATATATATATATATATATATATATATATATATATATTATATATATATATATACATTATACATATACATATATACATATATATATATATATATTATATATATAATATATATAATATATATATAATATAATATATATACATATACATATACATATACATATACATATACATATGTATATATTATATATATATATATATATATTATATATATACATATACATTATATACATATATACATATATATATATATAATATATATATATATAATATATATATATATATATATATATATATATATATATATATATATTTGTGCTAATAATAATAGTTTTTGTGATGGATTTCATGTGTATACATTTTTGTAAGCCTATGATATTACTATATCAACACAATAATACTACTATCAGTAAATAATCTGTACATAGCAAATACATTGGGCTTTTGTCTGAGCCTTGCAG